CATTCAAATCCACTCTGCAGAAGTGTGGACGCATCTGATCATTGATGTGTTCTGATAGTTTCTTCTCCACAAGGAATTTCCAGATAATGTGGAGAACAGGCTCTGTGAAGGGCTCGGGCATCTTCCATGTTGGGCGTTCTTTGCTGTACAAGGCGGTTCCCAGTGACTCGTAGTATGGATATGCCTTCACTGTGATAGACTTCAACTCAAGGTCTTTTTTAACGCAAATCTTTTCCACAACTGCAGCAAACAAGAAGCAGAGAAGCAAAGGTTAGATAAGTGGTTACTCTGCGGTTCTGAACCTTCTTGATCTGACAAATATCATTTTTCTACAACACTTTTCATCTTCAAATTACTTCAGTTAAACACATTTGAGATTGGATCTAGACTTTTTACAGTTTCTCAGTCACTGTTAGCTAACCGTTTCAGTCATTGTACACTACTTCTAAGTACAACAGGTATTAATCTAAAGCATTTTTTATTTTATTTTATTAACTTTAGTAATAACTGATTTCTTTGCCTCTAAGTTCAGGTTCACTTTAAAAAACTGGAAAAGCTGACCTAATATTTCCCATGTGAAGCTAGCTGCCTCAGACGTACCTCGTCCTTGGGAATAAAAGCACTATATAACCAAAGTACAGGAGTGATGCGTTCTAACGCTTGGGTTTGTTTTTTGTTGTTTTCATCTCGGCTGCTAGCTCCAGTAAGGACAACTATTAGTCGGACAGAATCCATTCTGAAAGCTTAAACACTAAAATGTTTCCAAAGTTTGCTGAACCAGTTTCTGTTTAAAGAAGTGAAAGAACTTGGTGGGCAAAGCCCTCACATTAATCACCACTACTACAGCAAGCTGGTGTCTGCATACATTCAGCATAGGTTTACATCAACAACAAAAAAGACCTTTAGGATCACTGAAAGTGATGATGGCAGCCTTTTCTTTTGGGATCATGATGATGTTTTTGGGATGAGTCCAAGTCTTCTCAAAATACAACTCCAGTATGTCTAGAAAAAAGCCAGAAATGCACAGCTTTACAGATGCATGAAGGTTAAATTACTTTCAAAGTTCGTTATCTGGTTATTTTAGCAGAAATGTTTTTGGCAGTAAAAATCTGAGTACTTCTATTTTTTCATTGTCAGTTTAATGAAAAATGTCTATAGCCTCTGC